TCTGTCTATCCTTAGCTTAAATAAAGGCTATTTTAAGCTTGTCTAAACGTGTTACAAGCCTGCTAGCCTATAGCTTACTAACAGGCTCTTCACTACGCACACCAAGTATCTTATTAGCTATATCTGCTACCTTATATAGCTAGGGCACAAATCCTTATAATTAAGGTTAAGTATATACTAGACAATTGTCTGCTCCTCTAGTATAGTAAGTTTCTAGTAATTAGCTTGTATATCTAGTTAAAATGTAATATTGCAAAGGCAATTAGAGACCTACTAATAAGGTATATTTAACGCTCTAGCAGCGCAGTAGATACTGCGAAATTAGCTAGCATAGAACGCCTAGATAGCAAGGATAACTTTGCCTTCTCTAGTAGTATTCTAAAGTTGTTGTTGTTAAGGCATGTTATGTTGGGGTAAAAGGTGGTTGTGCCAAGAGAAAGTGGCCGGTTTGGTGATATGGCCGGCTCGGTGATAATCTACGTTAACCTTATACTGAGCGATCTTCTGCTGTAGCAAGTTGAAGTAAAGCTCATACTTTGCGTAGGAATCGGCGTTGTGGCGATCAGCGTCCATACCCGTTGAGTATTAAGAGATAAGATGGATGGAGTACTTGTTGATGAAGCGCGTAACCCAGCTCTCGCTCACTGGCTCCTGGGCGACTGCTGACGCGAAATTGGCGATCATCTCTCTTGTAGGAGGTATATGACGAGCAGTTAGCTCCTCTATATACTTTACAAGCTCCTCCTCTTGTTGTTGGGTGAGCTTCTGCTGGTTGGAGTCTTTGGCTTCCTGAGGTGCCTGAACGCCCTTGTGTCTCCGCGCCAAAGTTGAGCGATCAACGCCATGTTGATTGGCAATTTCCTGATACACAAGTTTCTCTCCTGGGTCTAGCGCTTCGATTGCTGTAAGCGCATTATTAATAGGTGCCATGGCTGTTGAGTAATTACGCGTTGAAGTGTGGGTGCTGTTTATGGTGATCGGGCGTTGCGCGACTCCGGGCGTTGCGCGCACGGACACGGGTAGGTACGTTAACCTAAGACTAGCTACCTTTGGTAAATTATAGAACCCGTGTTACATCCCGTCTCCTCCCTTAATTCACTGCTTAGCTGAAAGGCCTCAGCCATAACGCGATGGAACTTTTCAAATGGAATGCTAGCAGTTAAAGGCACCCGAGCAAAATAACCAAGTGCGGAGCCCATGTATCGAAGGAGATTTGATCGGTCTGGCACCATTCTCAATAGACTGGCCGAAGTGCAGAATGCTAATATGGTCGTTCTTACAATGTCCCTGGGATTTGTTAAAAAGTAAACAATCAACTTCTTTGAGAATTACTTGGAGGCTTTTCCACTTTGGAAATTTTCACACGGACACAGAGAAAGACACACAGAGTTAGAGCGCTGCCGAATTAAAATGCGAGGGAGGGATGGGGATATGAAAGGAGGGCAGAGAGATATAGGAAAGCGTTGGTGTGCCGCAAAATCCATACCAGTTAGCCGCCATGGCAACGTTGTCGATATCATTTAGCAGTCTCAAAACGTCCTGCGCCTCGTTGAGAATGGAGAACAGCGCATTCTCAAACCGAGTGGCATGAGCGGGCTGCAGTAGCTCTTGTGCGTAGATGCAAAGCAGCAACTCAAACGACTGAATGCTCGTTGAGAGCTTGCCGAGTGCAGTAATGTGACATTCTGTAATGGTCGAGGCTTTCCAGGCCCGAACGAGCCGCACGCATTCGTCTATTTCACCCGTTTTTAGTGTATTGCGCGCCTCCCTGCCATGCAGTTTCTGCATTGCGTGCGAGGACAGGCGTGCAAAGAGACATTGTGTGATCATATCGATGTTCTGAATACCTGAGGAATTGTCCTGGCTGGGAAGAATGTGGTCGATGTGACTTTCAGGGAGTATCTGTTCGAGATCTCTGCATTAGTTGCGTTGCATCTCAGGTAACAATCAGGTAGATCGGCATACTGGATTCTTATCTAGGTATAACTCATTCCTAATGAAGAATTTGCTAACCTAAAACAGGTCCTAAGTATGCTGATCTACTTGATTATTAATAATTTTGGTTGGAAGACGTACCGAGAATTGGCCCGTCCACATACTATGGCGCTTTTCAATTATGTAAAGGAGCCAGAAGCCTTGTGTGAGCCCCATTTCTTGTTGGGAATCTCGGCACAGTACGCTAAGTGCGCGCCGACTGTTCAGTCGGAGAGCCTGGGCATGGGCTGTACACTCTGTCAAATATCTTGGAACCTCTTCCGGAGCCCACTGTACTGCATAGATGAGCTGGGGTTGAATTTTAGTATAAGAAGATTCTAAGGAGACAATCCTAATCTGATAGCTTACTAGAGTAAGGGCAGCCTGAGATGGGTTTTGTTAGCCTTGACAATTCCTGCGGATTTTGCTTGAGCTTATATTACCTTGAATGTAGTGATCGAATACTTTCCTCCTAACTGCTGCTCGAACATTTTTATAGCCATGTCGAAATACCGTGGAGCAAGCGTTGGATCGGTGCTCTTGTTTGAGTCCCGCACACGTTCTTGTTTGGCTCCGTTTGCAATTGCTGCATACACCAAGGCAATAGAGGCGGCATCGTCTGTTTTGCTAATTACTACATCATCGAATAGACGAAAGAGAGTGTCTCGATCGACGAATTTTGCTCCCCTAAGGTCAATGATTTAGCACTTGGTTTTTGCCGGGGCCCTCTGTGAGCTTACATGTATGCATGTTTGAGAAAGGCTAGAGTCTACTGTCAGTTGAATGGCCACAGACAAAACTCATTTTCAGGACTTACTCATAAGACATGATTGAAGTAGACTTGAGCGATCTTCATGCTCCTTTCTTGCGTCATTCATGCGACAGTTGCTGGATATGAAGTTGATTTGAGAAATGACGTCTTGGATGCCTTTCTCCATTGGCTCAAACGTTAGATCTTGCGCCGAGTTAAAGGTGTTGATACGTGATATGATTGTTGCTCCAGAAAAGTCGACCACATCGAAGTCTGTCGGGCACGTCAGAGGGGTAAGATACAGGCCAAAGGATTGCCTCCACTTGCCCTGGTAGAGTTCTGTAACTCGACGGTGTAATTCTGACTTGTCCTGTATACTGCGAAGTTCGGACGGAATAACGGAGAATGGCGTTATGCTCACATTTTCGAACATGACCTCAGAGGCATCATAGAGATCAAGCGTGTTGCCCTCTTGGCTATCCTCGTGCAGCAGCGAGTCAGGAATACCAAAGCTGTCAAATTGAAGCGACCCTGCGGAATTAGAGCTCGTTAATGCGTCCAGCTCAAACGTAATAGGGGATGGCCAAATCACTTCCTGGTCGCTCCTCTGGCTTTCTGCTTGGCTAGACGGCATCCTCGGATCTTCATAGGCCGTTGAAGATCCCGCAGCGATTGATGTTGAATCTCGACCTTGAGATTTGGTTTGCTCATAAGCCGCAGCTTCCAATAGGCTATATCCATACTTATTGGGCCTTCCACGTTTCTTCCTGGGGGGATAATTGCAGGTACTGCCGTTGGCCGGTAGGTAAGTTAGAGACCTGATGTAGGCTGTAGGGGTCAGAACTTGCCTGACAGTTGTTGCATCTTGGCTCGCCTCCATCACCTAGTGTTGTTTTTTAGCACGGAACAGAAAATAGAGTTGGACTAGTGGTTAGCCTGAATCACGACGTACATTTTAGTTTGCGGTTCTTGCATACCTCGCAAGCGCCAGGTCGGCGTTTGTAATTTCGCACTCCTGACTTCATAATCGCATCATAGAGCCAAACTAATGAAGCGAGCCGAAGTCTTAAATAGACCTTGAAATGGTTCAACAAATGGTTGCTAGGCTTGGCGATTCTTCCGCAGCCTTCCGGGGACACTACTGTAGGTCTTAAGTATCGCCTTAACACAAGCTAAGGTGCACGCTACCTAGTACCTGTGTCTAACGTGGGCTAAGCTGGCCTATATACTTCCTGTGCACATAGGGCTTCTACGCACTTACCTATCTAAAATTAATCCCTACGCAGGGATGTGTATCTGCAGAATTACTAGGCAGATTCTTCTCGAAGTTTTAACACTAACTACTATACTATAATTTACCCTACGGGCGTTGTGCACTATCTTACTATAACTTCTACAGTGTTGTTCAGTTAGTTTACCCCAATTAACCTGCACTTGCTTCTTTGCCTTCTTTCTATTACTGCGCGACTATAGATAGATCTAGCCGAGGACATGCGACGAACAAGCTCTGGGTCCGAGGTAAGCAGGTCTTTCGGGCCGATGCGGCCAAGCACCCCATATTTATTGGAGAGGGCCGCGTCTTCGGTGCAGGCGCGGTGGGATCCGGAGCAGCGGATGCGGAACATAGGCCAATAGGAGATGGCATGAGAGAAAGGGCCAGGAACGTGAGAAAGGGATGCGCGGATTTGCGCGATGCGCGCGTCTCTCTACAGTCAACAATACTCACAACCCCATAACTCAACGCCATGATGCCAATAAACGAAGCCCTTGCAGAGGTAGACTCGAATACCCTGTGATACAATCCAGTGGTCCGAAATTGTAGAAAAGCATGGTGTTGTACGCTTAACTTTGACGCGCAGATACTGAGCCCAGACGCGATCACAGCAGGACCAGGCAGTAACACAGCAAAAGCTCACCCCACAACAAAAGGAGGAGATTGTGAAGTATAAAGAGGAACTTACTGCTTGTCACTTACCTCCTACGCGAGAGATGATTGCAAACTTCGCCTCAACAGTAGCCCAAGAGCCAGTGAGCGAGAGCTGGGGTACCCGCTTTATCAAAAAGTACTCCAACTGTCTTACCTCTCACTACTTAATGGGTATGGACCCACGTTGACGCTGAGCATACATACAAGATAGATAAGAAGGACTTCATGATTAGAGTCACCACTGGGACTAAATACGTGTTCAGCCAACGTATGTGGGACAAGGGGGAGGTTGAGACATCACTTCAAGATGGCAATTGTGCGTGGATTATGTTAATAGCCTGTGTGTGTGGTGATGGATCAGCATTGCCGCCAGGACTTATATACGAGTCAGCCAACAGTACAATACAATTAGGCTGGGTAGAGCAAATTTAGTCAGGAGAGCACACTGCACACGTCACTCCTACGCCCACAGGCTGGACAAACAACAAAACAGGCCTTGCCTGGTTACAACAGGTCTTTGATCACTATACTAAGGAGAAATCACAGAGAAAGTATCGCCTTCTGATCCTTGACAGCCACAGGTCACACCTTACTATAGAGTTTATTAACTACTGTAATTAGAACAAGATACTCCTGGCTGCTTTCCCTCCTCACACAACCCACACGCTTCAGCCACTTGATGTGGTGATTTTGAAGCCACTGTCAACAGCATACTCAAAGGAGCTTACAATACACCTTCACGATAGCTAAGGGCTGTCAGTAATCAAGAAAGGCGACTTCTTCTACCTGTTCTAAAAGGTCTGGGTTAGCACGTTTACCCAGGAGATGATCTGTAGGTCCTTTTAGGCAACTGGTGTCATACCTATTTAACCCAACCCACAACACCAACTTTCTGATTTTTGGGTCCCCTTTATAGAGGCCCCAAAAATCGTGGCAAACTAACTAGGCCTACTGCAGCGACTCTGAGGACACGTCTAACCCCCCTCTCGCCCTTCGCGCGACGCGCAAAGGGGCGCGTTGCGAGGATGGCAGAGTTTTCTGCTTCCCCTGCCTCTCCTACCTCCCAGCACACAGGGTCCCCAGACCCTGAGTCTCCTCAACACCTTAACAACCGCGCCACAGAACAGCTCCAGAGGGTCCTGAATCATCAGGCTCCCCCTCTAAGCAGCCATTTCCCCAGTGGGGGCGCTCC